GAGTTGTTCCTAGACAGTTGTAATGTTCCTATGGAAATAGTAGGTCAGAGGTGCCTCCTAGGAGGTCCTGGTCATGGTAACTTCTTTGGCATGTAAATTTGAAACTAGAGTTAACAGGATGGAGAAAAAAAGAAAGAGGAAGAAATCATTTTTGTTTTTGAAGAGGCCCAAAAAGTACTTCCTAAAAATAAGACTAATCTTATGCTTAATATAGTAGCTTGTAAAATATGTTTATATAGTTATTTCAACGCCATCTCTTAATAACTTGAATATTTATGCATATATAAAGGATAAAAGGACATTTCATATACTAACAATTTTGAGATTATATAGTTAAATATTAGTGAGAATGAAAATCTTACGTTTTCAACTTTAAACCTTTTTTGAGTTTTGTTTTTTAAGATAGTCTAGTTCATTGCCCAGACTGCCCCTGAACTTGTAAAAGTTTTGCTCCAGTCTCCCGAGTGCTAGGATTATAAGCATGCTGTTTCTTGTCTTTTTTCTTTTTTTTTCTTATTTCTTTTTTGGTCGGTCGTGGGGCCTGAACTGTGGGCCTGGGCGCTGTCCCTCAGCTCTTCAGCTCAAGGCTAGCGCTCTACCACTTGAGCCACAGCACCCACTTCTGGCTTCTGCTTATGTGGTGCTGAGGAATCGAACCCAGGGCCTCATGCATGCAAGGCGAGCACTCTACCACTGAGCTACCTTCCCAGCCCTCTTTCTGTTTCTTTTAAGAGCAATCTAATTTTTCTTTTTCTTTTAAGTAGTTGTACAAAGGGGTTTCAATTCAGTTAAGTCAGATTATATGTACAATGCATCTTAAGCAATGTCACTCCTTCCATTGTTCTGCCCCATCTTTCCCAATCCCATCCATCCCCTCAAGTTCATTTCATTTCTGTCTTTTCTTCTTCTTCTTCTTCTTCTTCTTCTTCTTCTTCTTCTTCTCCTTCTCCTTCTCCTTCTCCTTCTCCTTCTCCTTCTCCTTCTCCTTCTCCTTCTCCTTCTCCTTCTCCTTCTCCTTCTTCTTCTTCTTCCTCCTCTTCCTCCTCTTCCTCCTCTTCCTCCTCTTCCTCCTCTTCCTCCTCTTCTTCCTCTTCTTCTTTTCTTTTCTTGCCAGTCCTGGGCTTGAACTCAGCCTGGGCACTATCCCTGAACTTCTTTAACTCAAGGATAGCACTCTATCACTTGAGCCACAGCACCACTTGTGGCTTTTTCTGTGTATGTGGTACTGAGGAATAAAACCCAGGGCTTCATGCATGCTAGGCAAGCACTGTACCACTAAGCCACATTCCCAGCCCTCAAGTTCATTTCTTGAGTCAGGCATATAATGTAAAGTCTCTAGGTACGTAGTTTCCTTGTTTTATTATTTTATATTGAGGCAAATATTCCTTCCAGGTGATTCTAGTGCCATTTCTAATTAAAGATAATTAACTTTACTGCCATAGATGTTTAGGTGGATGGTGACCAACACTTTCATCTCCAGTCTTAGGACTGTTTACTGATGCATGCTTGTGGAAGGGCAAATCCAGAGTAGCCAACTGTGGCAGTTCTGTTTATTTCTCTCTAATGCATGTTTTGCCAGACTAGCCAACAGTGGTTGTTAGATCTGCTAAGCTGGAAATAGAGCTGTAGCTCAAATGGTAGTGCTTTAGCCTTGAGCACAAAAGTACCCAGGCCTTGAGTTCATGACCCAGGCTAGCACCCCCTCCCCCTCAAAAAAAAAAGCATTTGCTTTTTGAGGCAATAATCATAAAGTATTATAATATGAATAAAATACCTTCTAAGGTATTTTATGTAAATGTAATTGAGCAACCCATAGTTAAAATTGGCTTTTATGTTAACATTGGCTTTCTCTCTATTTTTTTTCTCAAGGATTCTGCTCTACCACTTGAGCCACAACCACTTTCAGTGGTTAATTGGGAGATAAGGGTCTCATGGACTTTTCTTCCCCAGGCTGCCTTTGAATCTTGACCTTCAAATCTCACCTTCCTGAGTAGCTAGAATTACAGTCATGAGCCACCAGGGCCTGGCAACCTTGGCTTTTAATTTTCTCAGCAGAGATAATTTTATTAGATGTTATTTACTGTGGATATTAGCTGTTTTTGTTTGGAATTGGTATCTTGGGCTATTTTTGTCTATAAGTATACTTTCCTCCTTGTTTTCTCTTCCTTCTTTTTCTCCACCTCCTTCTTCCTTCTTCCTTCCTTCTTAAAAGAACTTCTGACTGAAATGACTGGTTTTAATACAGTGTTCTGAATTAAGCTAAAAACATTAAGCTAAATTTTTAACCTAGTACCTGCAAATTCTCTGAAGGATAATTCTTGCCCCTGTTGATTTTAAAATAGCATTATATATATTTTCATTTTTGTCACCCCTTCCCTCACTCTTCCCCCAGTTTAGCATTCTATTTTTAAACTGTGTTAATTATATAGATTGAATTTAATCTTTTCAGAAATACTTGAAAATTCAGAAATACTAAATTTAGCAAGGTGTTTTAATTTTTAAATATTAAACGTTTAATGTAATTTTTCTCTTAACAGTTATATGTAAAGTCTGCATTTATTGAATTTCTACTTCATTTTATTTAGTAGTGGGAATGTGTTACTTAGGTTTATGTGACAAAAAATGGCAATCTTATTTATTTTTTGAAAGCTGGTTTATCTCTTAATTTATAGTAAATGGGATTTGACAATTTATTGAGACAAATCTGAATCTGTTGTTAATGTATTCCCAAGGGTGGAAAATGTAGCCTAGTGGATGAGTTTTATGATATTCTTGTAAAAATTCAGCAACTTTAAAAATGAGATGTATATAGCTAAACACTGGTGATTCACACCTATAATCCTAGCTACCCAGACACTGGTGATTCACCTATAATCCTAGCTACCCAGGAGGCTGAGATCTGAGGATGACAATTCAAAGCCAGCCAGGGCAAGAAAGTCTGAGATTCTTACCTCCACTTAACTACCAAAAAGCCAGAAGTAGATCTGTGGCTTACGTGGTAGAGTGCTAGCCTTGAACAAACAAAAGGCTTAGGGACAGCACCAGGCCCTAAATTCAAGCTCAAGACCAACACACACACACACACACACCTTAAAAGTTGACTTATCATGGTTTCCTAGAGGGTGATTTTCTTAGTGATTTGTAAACCAATGTAGCATCTTAGGTCTAGAGTTAGATTGAAAGATAATAGTGGATTTTTTTTTCAAGTTGTTACAGAAATTATATTCATACAATATAGTTTTCCAGTATTTTTTTTCTTTTTTACATTTTGACAATACTGAGGATTGAACTCAGCTTTGTGCTTATGAGGCAAGTATTCTATCACCTGCTACTCCTACATAGTGCTTTTGCTTTTTAGTTTGTTTTTCAGGTAGGGTCTTGCACTAATTAGGGACTGGCCTCCGACTGCCATCCTCCTCTCTGCCTCCTGAGCAGCTGTTTTTAAAAGGTATGGACCGCCATGCAAGGCTCCATTTTCTTTTTGTTCTCACTGCTTGGAATCCTGTGTCTGGTGGGAATAGTATATGAGACCTTCCAGGGTCAACAGAAGAAAAAATGTGAAAGGGAACTTGAAGAAAGTCTAATAAACAGTGTTGAACATTTATACAGTTTTGTTTATCCAGAAATTATTTTCCTACTTAAGTCTCTAATATATTAGCCTGTGAGCTACCCGGTAGTAAGCTAAAAAATTCACTCCTAATATTCTCAAGGCTTGGTTGTATAAACTCTTCTTTTCTGGAGACTTCTCTTACTTTGTAGAAGTTGTCCATTTATTCCCACCTCTAGATAGTACCTTCTCTTTTGTGGTCAAGATAGAAATCTTTCCTTTAAATTTACTGTCTCAAAGTGAACAATGGGATGAGGAACTATACCTTCTCAAACAGTTTTCTTCTTCATACTCTTCAGCAACTGCATGTTTTGGTTATTCTGCATTTTAAAAGTCACAAAAGCTAGCTAGCTAGCTGCCTTGCCTCTATTATAGTGCAAGATCTTTTTAAAAAGTAAAATATACAAGCCGGGCGCTGGTGGCTCACGCCTGTAATCCTAGCTACTCAGGAGGCTGAGATCTGAGGATCGCGGTTCAAAGCCAGCCCGGGCACGAGAGACCGTGAGACTCTTATCTCCAATAAACCACCAGAAAACCGGAAGTGGCGCTGTAGCTCAAGTGGTAGAGCGCTCGCCTTGAGCTGAAGAGCTGAGGGACAGCGCCCAGGCCCAGAGTTCAAGCCCCACGACCGACAAAAAAAAAAAAAAAAGTAAAATATACAGAACATTCAAATAATCAGTATAAAACAAGAATTGAGAACTTTCTTTTAAGGAAATTTTGCTTTATAATAAGAATTTCCCTGGGAGTATTTTGAACACCACAGAGTTTTGAAATACCTTGGGGCGTTCTCTGAAGCCTCTGTGCTGTCTGGAGTGGGCTTAGTATTGTCATGGAAAAGGATTATAAGAATCACTACAGCCAGTGCCATCATCGGTCCTTCCAAAGTCTTTCAAAATTTATACAAAAGCTTTTGTCTTCTGCTTCTTGAGTTAAGTAGCTTTTTAGAAGTTTCATATTTAGGATGCTTTGTTTTGTATTTTACAATTTTGAAAGGGATAATAGCATTTTCAGGTCTTCTCAATCATTTTATACTCAACTTTTCTGAACTATCTTGAACACCAAACCGATAATGACTAGTAGGAAAAACAAAATGAATTACATATTGCAAATGGTTTACTTACTGGTTTTAGAGGAAAATCCTTAACGTATAGGAGATTTTGCCTATTTCTTACTTCCTGTAATGCCTCAGTAAGATGGAAATGCATAACACAAAGTACGGGAAACACTATTCACTCAATTGTGAATAATATTTCAAATACAGTTTGCTGAGTTTTGAGTTTTATGGTAAAATATGCAAAGTACATTGGGATTGCTACACTGTAAACTTTAAAAAGTCTTTTTTAAAAAATTTAATGGCTAATTTTTTTGTCCTGAATTCGTTATTTCTCTACAGAGGATGTGCTGAGTAAAGACACTGGGGAATGTGCAATATGCCTTGAAGAATTACAGCAGGGAGACACAATAGCACGACTGCCTTGCCTGTGCATATATCATAAAGGGTACGTGTGTCTTTATGTTAACTGGGTGATACTACAGTAAAAGATAGCTCTCATGGTCTCAAACATTGTAATTTGGGCTGAAAAGTTTCTTATTTTTAAAACTCTTCCTTTCAACTTACAGCTTCAATAATGGACTTTTTTTTCCTATAAAGATACAAATTGAACCCATAATCTATTGTATTCGAAATGTTACTATTTTTAAAGTCAGGAGCCACAGGATCGATCGTGTCTGTACTGCTAGCCATTCAGAAGGTTGAGAACTGAACATCCTGGTTTGAAGCCAGTCTAGGCAAGCAAATCCATAAGACTCTTCAGTTAGCCACCAAAAAGCTGAAAATGGAGCTATGGTTCAAAAGATAGAGTGCTATGCCTGAGAAGAAAAGCTGAGGGACAGACAAGCGCCTAAACTCTCAGTTCAAGCCCCTCTCCTTGAGGGGGGAAAAAAAATGGCTACCATTACTGTAGCACTTTTCACGTAGGTTAAGCCACATAAACCTTGTAACAACTCACAGTTGAGAAAAAAGAGCTTCTCCAAGATTGCATTACTGATAAATGGCAGAGCTTTGATTACAGAAGTTTTGTAGTTTGCTTGACTTGTGTATTCTTCTTGCTTACAGAGCAGTAACAAAAGGGTTAGGTTTAAAAGTTATTTTGGGAGAGACAAAGGATGAACAAATCAGTAATGGTAATTACTAGACACTGTTGAAAATGAAATATATAACTTGTAGATGGGAATGAGAGGGAGAAACTGGGAGAGAGTGAGGTAAGGGGTGACATTGTCCAAAAAGAAATTTATTTACTTATAGCCTGATTTATGTAACTGTAACCCTTCTATACATCATCTTTATAGTAACAGTAAGTATATATATATATATATATATAATTTGTCAGTTGTAGGGCTTGAATTCTGGGCTTTGGCTCTGTCCCTCACCTCTTCAGCTTAAGGCTAGCGCTTTACTACTTGAGCCACAGCGCCACTTCTGGCTTTTTCTGCTTATGTGATACTGAAGAATCAAACCCAGGGCCTCATGCATGCGAGGCAAATACTACCAGTGAGCCACCTTCCCAGCCCAAGAAAATAATTTTTAAAAAACTAAAAAAGCTATTTGAGTTAATGAAAAGTTAATGAAAGAAGGTAGAATTTTACTTGGAGCTTTGAGAAATTAGAGTAATACAAAATAAGGAGGCAAAAAGAAATCCAAATATTTCAGTGATTATAATAAAATTGAAGAACAAGCTTGCCATCAACAAACAGATCAAAAAGTTTGGCTGTGTTGTTTAAAGAAATAACTCAAGCTGGGCACCAGTGGATCATGCTTATAATTCTAACTGCTCAGGAGACTGAGATCTGAGGATTGCAATTTGAAGCTAGCCTCGACAGAAAAAGTCTGTAAGACTCTTACCTTCAATTAACCACCAGAAAACTAGACGTGCCACTGTGGTTCAAAGTTGTAGAACACTAGCCTTGAAGCACCCAGGTCCAGAGTTTAAACCCTAAGACTAGCAAAAAACAAACAAACAAACAAAAAAAACACCCTTAAAGATAACAGGCAAATATGAAAGGGAAAGGATTAGAAGTCTAGTACTAAAAGAAAACTGACAAAGTGAAAAAGTGAACTTAATGGCAGAAAGCACTACCAGGAATTAGTAGTTACTATATAACAAGAAATATATAAAATTCTGTTTTTATATACCTAATCTGTCCAAATAAAATATGAAATTCAACATGAGGGAGAGGATGACACTGTTTAAAAGGAAATTTACTCATTACCTGACTTATATAATTATAACCCCTCTGTATATCACTTTTACAATAAAAGTTTTAAAAAAGCTAGGTGCCCATGGCTCACGCCTGCAATCCTTGCTATTCAGGAGGCTGAGATCTGAGGATCATGGTTCAGAGCCAGCCCACGCTGGAAAGTCCATGAGACTCTTATCTCCAATTTAACCACCAGAAAACCAGAAGTGACACTGTAGATCAAGAGTGCCTACCTTGAGCTGAGTAGCTGAGGAACAGCACCCAGGCCCAGAGTTCAGGCCCCATGACCGACAAAAAAAAAGAAAAAGAAATTTAAAACAATTGGAAAGTTCCATATTTAGGAATTTGAATAAATGGATAATATCTTTAAACATATAATTTCACTAGCTACTCAGGAGGTTGAGATTGCAGTTCAAAGCCAACCTGGAAAAGAAAATCTGTGCGACTCTCAACTCCACTAGAAAACTGGAAGTGGTGGTCTAGCTCAAAGTGGTAGATCACTAGACTTCAGCAAAAAAGCTCAAGCCCCACACCCAACCAATATATAGGGAATGTCATCAAAAGTTATTCAAAAAGAAATTGAAAATCCAAATTGACTAATAGCTATTATAAGTAGTTCAGACTAACCTTGCAAAATTAATATGTAAAAGGAAAATTCTAAAAATGACTTCATAGACAGTTGAGGCAGTAAATTTTTCTAGGGATCCATGAAAAACTATGTTTAAAATCTTAAATTCTGGAGTGCGTTACTTACCTCAACTCTTAGCTTGTCAGGGACGTAACTGGGACTTGCGGTGCCTGCTCCTGCTCCTGTCACCTTTGCCACCAAATCCACAGTCATCATGCATGAATGCATCTCCATCCACATGGGCCAGGCTGGTGGTTCAGATTGGGAATGCCTGCTGGGAACTCTACTGCCTAGTACATAGCATTCAGCCTGATAGCCAGATGTCAAGTGACAAGACCATCAGGGGAGAGATGACTCCTTCAATACCTTCTTCAGTGAGACAGGTGCTGGCACGTACGTGCTCTGGGCAGTGTTTGTAGACCTGGAGCCCACAGTCATTGATGAGGTTCAAATTGGCACCTACTGTCAACTTTTCCACCCTGAGCAGCAAGAAAGGCACAGGCAAGGAAGATACTTCCCGTGGTCACTACACCATTGGCAAGAAGATCATTGACCTCGTATTAAACCAGATCAGAAAACTGGCTGATCAGTGCACAGGTCTTCAGGGCTTCCTAGTCTTCCACAGGTTTGATGGGGGAACTGGCTCTGGCTTTACCTCCCTACTGATGAAGCGTCTCTCTTGTGAACTATGGCAAGAAGTCCAAGCTGGAGTTATCCATTTACCCTGCCCCCCAGGTGTCCACAGCTGTAATTGAGCCCTACAACTCCATCCTCACCACACTGGAACACTCTGATTTGTGGCTTCATGGTGGACAATGAGGCTATTACATCTGTTGTAGAAACCTCGATATTGAGCACCCAACCTACACTAACCTGAACCACCTTATTAGCCAGATCGAGTCTTCCATCATAGCTTCTCTGAGGTTTCATGGGGTACTGAATGTTGACCTGATAAAATTCCAGACCACTTCCCCTTGGCCACATAGGCCCCTGTCATTCTGCTGAGAAAGCCTACCATGAGCAACTTTCTGTAGCGGAGATCATCAATGCTTGCTTTGAGCCAGCCAGTCAGATGGTGAAATGTGACCCTCACAATGGTAAATACATGGCCTGCTGCCTGTGGTTGTGGTGATGTGGTTCCCAAAGATGTCAATGCTGCCATTGCCATCATCAAGACCAAGCACAGCATCCAGTTTGTGGGTTGGTGTCCCACTGGTTTCAAGGTTGGCATCAATTACCAGCCTCCCACTGTGGTTCCTGGTGCAGCAAGCTATATATGCATGCTGAGCAACACCACAGCCATTGCTAGGCTCGCCTGGACCACAAGTTTGTCCTGATGTATGCCAAGTGTGCCTTTGTCCACTGGTATGTGGGTGAAGGGATGGAGGAAGGAGAGTTTGCTGGCCTGGAACTTGTGGCCCTCCCCACTCTGCTTCTTGGGTGCTGAGATTAGAGGCACATATTATTGTTCTCAGATTTTTTTTTAACAATTATGTATTTGAAATAACATTTGTAAGAAATTAATATGCTTGCTTCTGGTTGTAAAATTGTATGATTTGAGTAGACTGCCTTTAAATTGGTTTTCCCCCCATAATTCCATTTTGCTTCAATCTTGTGGAAAGCACAGTTTATCAAAAGCATAAATATTGTCAGGCCTGATGGCACCACCTGTAATTCTAGCATTCGCGAGTTTGAAGCCAGCCTGGGCTACATATCTCAGAAAACCTTAAATAAATAAATCAGTCAACCAATAAATAAGTAAATACAATGAAGTACCTGAATAATAGCATTGTAAATATCCGTAAGAAAAAGACAAACCAACAGAGAAAATTTTGCAAAAATTTAGTCCGTCATTAAAATAAACCCCAAGTAGCCCATGAATATAGAAACATGAAGTGAGATATTTGGTAGATAATGACAGCAGCAATGAACAGTATACATGCTGCAATTCAGAAATTGTGCACTATGTTTGCCCAGAAATAGAAATTCAAAGAATGTTCATAGATCATTGAAAATGTCCATTGGTACAATACGTTTATAGATGGTTATTAGTATGTTTATATAACAGACTGCTCTACACAGTGGGAATATAAAAATGAGGGCTTTATTAACAATTAGAATCTCAAAAGTGGACCAAAAAAGTGAGTTAAAAAAAATAGTTTTGGGGCCTGGAAATGTGCCTAAGTGGTGCTTGCCTAACATGCATGAAGCCCTAGGTTTGATTCTTCGGTTCCACATACATCAAAAAAGCTGGAATGAGATTCAAGTAGTAGAGTGCTATCCTTGAGGGAAAGAAGCACAGGGACACAGTGCCCAGGTCCTGAGTTCAAGGCCCATGACTGACCCCTCCAAAAAAAAGTTTTGTCTGGATATGGTGGCTTACAGAGGCAGAGATCATAAGGATTGCCATTTGAGACCAGCCCAGGCAAAAAAGAGATCACACACCTCAGTCAGTATAAACTGGACATGGTGGTGCATAGCTGTTTATCCCAGCTGTGTGGGAAACATAAATAGGAGGACCAGGGTCCATGTGAATCTGAGCAGAAATGTCTAAAGAGGTGGGGGCAAGTAAATAAAACTAAAGCAAAAAGGGCTGGGTAAGCCAGGCACCAG